TGTGGAACCCTTTATCAAACATTTGCTTACAAAATACATATTTATTTAGAATCTTAATTTTATTGTTATACCACAGTGGTTCACACAATGGATTTAATTTAAAACTTTCTAAAAATTCTGCAAAATAATACAGAGTTTCTTTCGAAAAAATATTTTGTGTGATTTTTGCCCTTTGTTTACTGTATTCAGACCCAACACTACATAACTTGGTAATATTACATCCTGTAATTTCAGAAAAATATTACACCAATCTAAATCAGTTGTTAAAATTCTCCTAATCCAAGTTAGCTTAAGAGATTTAATAAATGTTTCTATATTGGTCATTCTACATCAATCATTTCCGAAATCCAATTGCAGTGTTTTTCGAGAAATTTTATCAATTTCGTTTCCTCATATGAATTTGTATAAGGTTTTTTTTCTCGAAATTCTGTATCCACTGCAAACTTGGTTTTGGAAGAGAAATGAATAAATGAGTAAACTTTGATAGGAACAAACTTTTTACTACTGTTATTTTTCCTAAAGGGGTAATATTTCTTTTTGACCAATGGTTTATTTCTTTTTGAATAAGTTTAAACTTCTTGTCGGAATTAAGTTCCTCCATGTTTTTAAGATTTGCAGTATACGTTATACCAAGTAAAAGGTTCAGTAGTCCATTTTAATCCTGTCTCCATACAGATTGTATTTCCTGTGTTTATTTTAGACCCAATCCAGACTGCTTTTGTTTTTGAAATATTCGGCTTTAAAAACCTGAAAATTTTGAAAATTGAAAAAGAAGATCCAGCGCACTTTTAAGACTCTTTTCTGATCCATCAAGAAAAAGAACTGTGTCATCTGCATATTGTATAAGGCAAACTTTTTCCTTCCCAATTTTAATGCCTTTGATATTTCTATTCTGTCGAATCATGTGTCCTAAAATTTCTACACAAAGATTAAAGAGGTAAGGAGATACTGGGTCACCTTGACGACAACCCCTTCCAATTTCACATTAGTTTTAAAAAATGTGAAGATAACGATCCTTCTTAAAATTCTATTTAAGGATATCCGCCTTTCAGGCAGGAAGGATAACTCTTAAAATCATAGTTTAATTTACAAAAAGTTTCAAAAAGAAGTTTTTCATGCAGCAATTTTCATTTCATGCATCTCAATATCTTTGTTTGTTTGCGTGTTGTTTAACGTCCCTCTCGAGAATTTTTCACTCATATGGAGACGCCATCTCAATATGATCCCAGGTTCTTTGATATTTTAGAACCAGTATTGTAAAAAGTTGATATTTTACACCCACAAAGGTACAAAAATAAATACATTTTTAGGGAAATCGAAATTCCTTTCATCTAGACTTAGATACTAATGTTTATAAGCATGATATGAAATTACAAGTAATCTGTGATGTCTTGCAATCATAGAACAAGGTTTTTACACTATGTATTATATAACACTTAAAATAAGTAGAACTAAAATACCATGTAAGTATAAAACACATCCAATTTTCTCCGAGTTTTATCCTAAAATGTATTTGTTGATCAATTTATATTTAGAAAATGAATAAAAAAAGCTGGTGCTTTTATTCACATTTCTAGAAAATATACCTGAGATTTAATAATTTTCCATGTACAATATGATTAACTTTAATGATAAACTTTGAAGAAATACCATGGCTAAGTACACACTACTTTGGGAATTCAGAAGACATTTTTTGAACATTTTCAATTACTTAACTGCTGATTTTCAGAATCTGAGGATCAAAATACCTTAAACAATACAAGTTATGAGCAAAGACAACACGGACCTCTGAAAAAAAGAGAGATGGAATCAGGTGCCATGGAGGACCGGAGTAAGAATCCCCTGTCGATCGGTCACATCTGCCGTTTGCTCCTTGACATGATCGGGTAGAAGTACATAGTTTAGAATTTGAAAATGTATTAAATGTATATCAGAGCAGTCGAGAAACGGATTTGAAAGTTAGGCACTTTCTTTTAATGCAGGATCTACATGCCGAAAACAAAGACAGACCCCAGAAAAGATCAGAGTGTCCCATGGGACCCCTTAACACACTGGACTTCAAAGAGCTGAAGAGACACACATTGTGGAATGAAGACTGAGACAACTGAAAAAAAAATCGATCTGATTTGTTTAGTTATGCATCGAACATGATTGCTTATCTGTTAAAGCACATAAAGAAAGGTGTTCAATAGAACAGCGTCCAAGAATACTCAGGCGACGATAGAATATCGGACCTCATTGATATTCATGTGATCATTGGAACCTCGTCAGAAGATTCTCAGAGAAACAAGTGTTGTTGGGAAAACTGATTACAAAAGTGCTCAAATAAAAAAAAAAGTGAGACACCCTACAAACAAGGAGTGGTGCTGGAGGAAGCTCAAGAGTCCTCTGTTCTGATGCCAGAAAAGTTAGAAGTTGGAAGATTAGTTAGAAAATCAAGGGAACCCACTCCTCTGCCGAAGAAAAATGCTGGAAATGAGAAGTTCCAGCAAGGTTTAAAAACAATTAACTTGGTGCAGGAATTTGTGCCAAAATCAAAAGTTTCCCAGACCATCCTAAACGATAGAGGAATTTTTAAGTTTGGGAGCCCGGACATCGAGGAGGTAGAGGTAGTGTGAATGGGAGAGATCTTACAAGTCCGTGAAAGGGTACATATCGATGCGTTCTTCAACAATAGAAAAGCTGTATTGACCACAGCAAGGTGGAAAGAAGTAGAAAAGGACATGGAGAGAGTTGAGTTGGTGGAAGATTTGGAAGAATGAGCAAATGGACATTTCTGTTGCATGAGAATAAGCTCAAAAGAGACTTTTTATGAATGAAATATATGGAGATAACGAACAGTATTCAAGCTATTTTTTATTTTATTTTATTTATTTATTTATTTGATTTCGATTGTAACTATAAACATTTCAAAACAAAAAAAAATATTTTTTTTTTTAATTTTAAAAAGTAAGATAATAAAAACACACATAGACACACATTTTTTATTATTATGTGGGTCATTTGATGATCAGAGATCATTCACCTAGTTAGTGACAAGGAACTCTTTTGTAGAGAGAAGATGACTTTTTGTCATTAGTAAATAAAAATCAAGTATGCCATTTAGTAAAGTATAGAAGTGCTGTTTATTCAGTGAAGTAAGATAGTCCATAAAGAGAACAGTCGGTTAGGAGGTCTGTTAGTTAGTAGTTCGTATAATAGTGATCGAGAAGGCGCTGGGAAAACTTAAGATGAGACGGATTATATGTGGCTGAACAAGCCTTTTCCTCCCTTTCTTACACTTAAACGTTTTAGATAAGTAAATCTTAGTAATAGAAAGGTGAGACAGCAGTCGGGGATAATTAAGGCAGCTAAATAGAGCCTTAGTGAGCTAAACTAAGATCTGAAATTATTACCCCGTCATAAAGTTTATGTAAGTCAACGTTTTTTATTAGCTCTGTGTATTTTTTTTTCTGTAAAAAAAAACATGACAAATAAATCTGCCATTTTTCTAAAAATCCTCTGTCGTGAAATAGTTTTTGTGATATTTGCCCGTGGTGAAATACCGGGTAGTCGTCAAACTATTCACCGGATGCATTCAATTTCCCTTACGTTTCAAGTAGGAACTTTTCTTGTTTTATCCGGGTCATGCTACAAGTAAAGTCTGCTTCGGTATAATAACACCTGTTTACTGACTATTCGAACAATAGTAAGTATATTGTCCCCTCGTCTCGAATCGAAGTGGTTGCTGTCTTGGGGGACAATAAACTTGCTATTGTCTTCACAGTCAGTAAATAGGTGTACAATATTTAGATTCTCAGAAGTTATCTGGGCTTTCACACGAATCACTTTTTAAGCAAGTAGCTCAATCTAAACTGAGGAATAATAAACTTATAATTACACAAGTATCTTCATTATTTTTGTAACATCTGCTCGGTAACACGTTACCTATTGTCGTCACGTACAAAACATTATTTCTTGTTTTGTTTTGAACATATTTTATTGACAGTATGTCAAGTGGATTGGACACAAGTTCTAAAAACTTAGATAGTCCTCTCCCATATATAAAATCTTAATAGCCATACAACATTTACAAAGATTTACAATTTTACAATATTATACATGAACGTAGAAGAACATAGACAATAGTTATTATTGCTAAGGAATATCAATTGATATAATGATGATTATAATGACGTCAATAACCATATTAAAATAGTTTCAAAAGGTAGTAAATACAAGTACATGTAAGTGTTAATTGAAACGACCAGTATCCTGAATAAATTTTTGAACAATACCAAATATTTTTTTCATTTTCCTGCAAAGATAATGATTCATCTCCCCATAGCAGTTTATGCACATTTAACATTTTTACATTATTAATTACAAGCAATGCATTCAACATTAAACGTCTAGCTTCAAGATAATTTTTACACACAAAGAAATAATGATGACTATCCTCCTTATATCCACAAGAACAATTTGGATTCGTTATAATGTTACATCTATACAAGTCATGATTTAAAATACAATTGTGCCTTAATCTTGTATGTAAAATGTTCAAATACCTTTTGCCGTGTGATAGATACTTGGGAGGCTTGTCATTATTATTATTTCTTATATAATACTACACCTTACGTACAGATAAGCGATTAAACCTCTACATAGGATTATACATATATACATGGACATGTTTCCATATCATTGTTTGTAAAGAATACTTTTCAGTTGTTTTTATTTTTAATTCGAAAAGAATATCTTTGCAATATTATACAAATAAATTTTACAAGTCATCTCATATAATATATGAGTATATTTAAAAAAAAAAGCAAGTAGGGGCAAACAAATAGCTAGTCAATATATACTTACTTCTATATGTATGAGCATACCAGCTGTATCGATAACTTTAGATGCAGCATTGTCTATTGTTAATCATGTAGATAAAACGACAATTTATGCAATCAGGATAACGAAGAGTCTTCATGACTTTGCATTTGATTGTTCGTCAAACTTAAGCAGTGTGAATGTAAGACTAATCAAAATTATGATGTGGTATCAATCGCATTCTTGTAACGAAGAGAAATGAAGCAAAGGTGAGAATATTACTTGTTATAATAGCAACTATTATTATTCTGATAAAAAGTCTTCGAGGTGTTCCAGTATTGTTTAGGGCTTTAAGCATAAGATTGACTTAAGAATTCTTTAATTTCTTAAGCATAAGATTGACTTAAGAATTCTTTTATTTCTTAAGCATAAGATTGACTTAAGAATTCTTTTATTTCTTAGAATGTTCCAAGACAGAGAAATATTGAGTGATTTTGATATTCGGCCAAAATTTTATTTGTTTAAACTTTATTTCCTTCGGATAATCATCATGATATGCAGTACAGGCATAACAAACAGGATTCGGAAACAAGTTCTATAACAACTTATATAATTAAACTCACAGTCATGTATGTATATTTGTCCTTATTGAATGACAATAAAAGTAGAAAAATTAAAATGCTAAAAAAGGTAGTCAGTGATCTTATAATTGAAGAGATATTATAATAAGAAATTGCATATATATATAGAGAGAGAGAGAGAATGGTTTTTGCATGAGTTTGATCAAGTGAAATATTATGGATTTACATATAAAAAACAGTGTAAAACATGAAGTATCTATGTGTAAAACATATTGTAAAATGAATCCCCCATGGTTTTTGGTTAGATATAATATTTTTTTAATCCAACTCGTTGTGTGTTTTTATCCCCTCGCTAAGGCTCGGGGATAAAAACACACAACATATTAAAGAATTAATTGAAACAAAAAAATAATTAAGCAATAAAAAGTAAGATCTCAGAACTAACGCTTTGAAAGAAAATAAGATATAAGAGGGATTCTATGAAACCAAAAGAATCAAATAAAAAAGTTATCATTGACTATCAAAATGTGTTTCTGAAGCGCGGATGCCTCAAGGAATAGTCAAGTTGTAATCGGGCAAATTTGACCTTAACCTTTTCCAAATGACGTTTTATCAGGGTCATTACACACCCTCTATCTTTGTGCTAAGCTATAAGCTTATAATGTTTCCTCGCCCCAGTTATGAAAAGATCTAAATGCTCATTACTTCATTTTTTTAAATTTATGGTTAATGTTTAATTTTTGTAAAGGCAAATAGGTAAAACAAAGCCTCCCTCCCTTCGCCTGGTCCTTGATCATGAAAAAAATTAAATACAAGACAATATATAAAATCAGTTTATTTTTTCACTTTTCATTGACAAATCACAACGTTTTACAAGGTACATAAAATAGATATTAGTAACAATGAAGGTGATATTGTCATCACTACAAATATTCCACCCTATATACACAGTACATGTAAATATCTCTAATAATACGTATCTTTCATGAAAAGGAGAAATATTTTCATGTTTTAAAATTTACTCGGTAAAAATAAATAATTATAACTTTAAATAAAAATTATACAATATATCCCCTGTACAATAAAGTGTTGCGTTAAACATATTTAATTGTATCACCAATGAGCGGTCTCTTCCGGTCGAATACTAGTAGACGGTAAACGGAACTTTTTTTGGCTTTGAGACCATCACAATAAAGGGTATAAACCTGTTTATTTTATAAAGCTCGGTGATGGCAAATGAAGAAGAATTGGACTCGGGGGAAAAGGTTGAAGATGCTGTCTTATTTGGTGTTAATGATAACCCCCCTCCACATCTGACAGTTTTGTTTGGATTACAGGTAGGTAAAGATAAATATGTATACCTTATATGTGTTTCAGTATAAGTTTTTCTTTTGTGACACTATGCAACTGAACATAGTAACCAAGTATCCAGCAAACATATAAACTCTCGTGTGTATAGAAACTTCAAGGCTATTTGATCGACTTCGTGAGCTCAAGAGAATCCTTTTTATCACAGAGTAGAGAAATACCGGCACCTTACGAACGAACGGAACTCGCCCTAACTTCCCGTATCTCGGTAGTCTTGCCGGGACCAGTTATTGCACCTACACGTAGTTTAAAATCGAAACAATTAAGTATATGTCTATAATAGAACGGATAGTTTTTTAATCACTTTGTAAAGGATAATTTCTCCTGTCTAATTTTCTGTAATCACTTACAATGTAATCAAAGGCGGAGAAATAGAAGAAACTACGCCATAATGCCTAAGCTTGATTGTCATGTGTCAGTGATTATATATATATATATTTATCCCATGTTTACCCCTTTATCCCGTGGATATGACTCATTGGATAAATTTTTCATAATCCACAGTTAAGTGCAGTTGTGACGTCACAATGGTTTTTTCGTTAGCGTGATGAAGTAAAATAAAGTGGAGTCCTATATAAAACAGTGTAAAACATTGGTTGTGAAGTATTAAACAAGGGATAAAAAGAATCTCCCATGATTTGCAGTTGAATATGAGTTTTATCCAACTCGTTGCGTGTTTTTATCCCCTCGTCAAGGATAAAAAACACACAACTCGTTGGATAAAAATCATATCCAACTAGAAATCATGGGAGATCCTATATTTATATTTATATATATATATATATATATATATATATATATATATATATATATATATATATATATATATATATATATATATATATATATATATAAAGCACTAAAAATGACCAACGACACGAACAATAATAATTGTCAAATTTTCGGGACGACCTGTCCCTTCCTCAGGACAAAGAAAAAAGTTAAGAAGTCATAAAAACAAAGGAAATAAAGAAACAGAAACAACTAGCACTACTAGTAAACTACCAAACACTAAGTATTTACAGTATTACATGTTTAATTTGAAGTTAATAAACAGTTGTGAACGAAGAAATCCGGAGCGCTATGAATTGCGTCCGGTGTGTCGCATAATATTTGGTCCGCCTCGTTTAAAGGTCCGGGCGGACCTAATACGATAACATATAAGGTCCGCCTTTTATAAGAAAAGGTCCGGCCCGTATAAGAAAAGGTCCGCCTAAGATTAAAGGTCCGGGTGGTGCAAAATGTTTTAATCTTGACTTAAACACATAAAATTAAAGAGAGTTTGTTTACATCATATGAAGAAAGATTAAGGATTTACCCTAGCTGTTGTGTTTATTTCTTTGTACAATATATCTCTTAGGGCAAGAATTGCTACTCCATGTTTAGTGTGCTTTTAGCAATGCCGTTTAGGGCAATGATTTTTAAAAAAAAAAAAATGTCGCATTTATTGGGCTTGTGTTTGTTTTTCCCCAGCATTTGCTTAGTGTAAATTAGGACGATTAAAGGTGTGAAATCTGCCGGTGTGTATAGGCAATAGAACAATGGGGGTGTGAAGTATTCGTATACCTGACAGGTACCCGCAGGTAGAGACCGCGGCAGATAGCAATGACAATGTAATGGTCATGTGTTTGTTTTAAATCAATAGATATGAATTCTCTATTTTAATAAATTATGCTGAAGAGCAAATTTTAATACTTTTATGATATTCATGCGTACACATCAAAATTGTGATATATATAATTATATATAGTCTATTTTTATTACAATATTTAAAGAAATTTCTTATTCCAAATGTAGAGTTTAACACTAAGACCGATAAAAAATAAAAGTATGTATATGCTTCCCTTTGGTTTTAACAATTAACTTGTTTTCAGTTTATAATCATATTTTGCGCTTTATTTGTGGAAAGGGTAATATATAGCCTAATGTTGTATTCGATCTATATTTACTGCAGAAACAAAATACATGTAATGTTAAAGCTTAAAACAGGTAACTCAATGTTGAAAATATATACATCAGATTTAAAGTATAATCATGGTTTGGATTTAATTCTTTCTTATAAAAAAAATCACTCTTCCTCGTCATAATGAACTACAAAAGAAATAATGTTTCATTTTTGTAATTTTTTTTGCCAAAAGAAAAAGAAATTACACATTTTACTGTGACTATAATAGACAGACTGGGATAATCTAGCAGGTTGTATTGCATGACCGATTAAAATTTGAAATCATTATTGTAAAATATTTTCTTTTATTACCGACATAAAGCATTTTGGGCAAAGTTGAATGTCCAGTTCTATATACAAGTCATTTATTTATCTCACGTCTGTATGAACGGGGGAAGGGGGAGGGAACATCAGTTGATCCTCTTCCTCTTTTGCGTATCAAGGAATTTCTATTTTCTAAAAAAAACTCGTTAAAATGGCAGGCGGACCTTAAAACGCAGTATAATAAAAGGTCCGTCCTCTGTTTTTCTTTTTCCCCAGATACATGTAGTCATTTACAAAGCAAAAATAATGGAAATGCTGTAAGTTCCTATTGTTTTTTTTTTCTTTGTTGGTTCGTGTGTTTTTCCAGGGTAAAAAGATAATTAGGTTTTTAATTTTAGGATGGACGCTAAATTAACTTAGAAAACTCTTGGAATGGCCTAATTGTGCATAAGAAATGCATATATACTACATGTAGTAGTGTACTTTTTTTCATTTATGCTGACAAAAAGACAAAACTTTAATATCAATTAATTATCCACTCCATGTACAATTGCAGGAGATGTGTCTAATGTATTGTATATCTATGTGCAACCATAAACATTTGTCTGAAGGGACCACAATTATATATTATTATTAAATTAGTAATGTTTATGACGTGCAACAAGAGAACTATAACCCCACCCCCACCCCCCATCACACACACATAAATAAAAAAGAAATAGCCGCTAAAAGTCGAAGAAAATCTAATTTAAACCAAAATCAAAATAAATATAAAAAATATTAACAAAAGAACACGACTTGGTGGTGTTTTATAAATTTTTATATCAGTCACGATCTCAACAGACATTTTCCTTTTTATATTAGGGGGAAATACATGTCAAGTAAAACTCCTCTGTAAATAGTATGGGTGGATAAGATTCTCCCTAGTAAGAAGGTGGAAAAGGAGAAAATTTTGTACTGAAGCGTACTGAGTATTTCCTATGGTGGATAATAAAGCCGGGTTGTTTCTTCCAAGCTCGCTGCATGTCATTTCCGAAATTTTGCATTGCATTTCCGACATTTTTTGTTTTCATTTTACAATACAATCAACACTAAGTCTAGTAAAAAATACAAAGTCTAGTAATAAAATGCAATAATTTCAATAATAAAACATGCAATTTTTGATCACCAAATTTTAATGCCCACTGAATTATATTTGTTTGAAAGCACCGAAAACAGAATCCGCTCAACTTTGATTACTTTATTCCCTCAAACATAGTTTCTGTATGTCATAAATTCTATCTAAGTTAACCTATCTGATCTCAAATTCAGTCTGATTATCTTGATTTGAAAAGATGAATAAAAATTCACAACTTACACTTATATGTGTCCGAGGATAAAATCTTCATAAGATTCTTTTAAATATAAGCAGAAAATATTATTTGGAAATCAATGAATTATTCTTGATTTATTCTTTAATTTTTTTTTATAAGGGAAATTTCAATTTTGTTTTCATTGCCGGAAAAGTACTTTATGATGATAAATGTCAGAGATGAAAATTTGAAAATGTCAGAAATGAAAACTACAAAATGTTGGGAATGAAATGAAAAATATTTAAAAAAAAATTCCGGAAATGAAATCCTATGCTAGGCTCATTTTCCAAAAGGGGCAGGGGTCTTTAAACCCAAGATCGTTTTTCCGGGAAAAAATATTAATGCGGGAGGAGAATCTACAACATCAGTACTATTTAAACTATTTGACATGTGTCAACAAAAAAAAAAAAAACAACAACAACAAGACCTTTTATAATCTTTTCCTTTTTGGGGGGGTGGGGGTGGGGGTGTTTTATTGCTTAAAATGTTCAACTCGATTGACTTAGGTTTGATTTTGCCAATTAATTCATATCTTCCTTCACCAGTGTTAACCCCGGGGTAATATCAAGTAGGAATGATATAATCTTTAGTCTTTAACTGGATAAGAAACGATGGTTATAAAAACTCATGGGATATGCGACTTCAAGTTTCGTCAAGTGAGACAATAGGCCTACCCCCAATGCACAGACATGTTGTTTTAACAACAACGGGTATAGGCTAGTACACCGTAACACAAGTCCCTGTTACAGTGACCCTCCAATTATTTCATAGTTAGGTACAATATGAATCGTAAGAATTATGCATAATTATTATTAATAATATAATGAAATATCTTTCGAAAGATATGAAAATTCTTTTTGGGAAGTGGAAGTCGAAAGTTGTTAGGAAATAGACTGTAATGAAATGATCATTGTTGGACTTACGAACACTATATACTGAACAATGTGCCAGTGAAGGTATGCGTATTATATATCTGTATTTTTTTTTTTTATTTTTTTTTTTTTGCAATGATAATACTGATATCACTTAAACTATAAAAGACACATGTCGTACATGATTTTCCCATAAGGTAACTCGATCAACAGATCTTTGCATCTTTATAATATTTTTTTTGTTTTGTGCACTACTTGACTACGACAAGGAGCAAACAGTTAATCAGTGCTAACATCAAATTTTGAATAATTTTTTGATAGATATTTTGAGGTTCTGTACTGAAATATATCATAGTATTAGAAATATAATTAATTAAAATTGATTAACGAAATCCAGCAACTAGCGAGATATCGCGAGACTTGATCCTGTTAGTATACATGTATATACATGTACCATGTGTACGTCCCTGGAACTCCATTTTGCTGGGAGGAACTATACCTTAAATAATTTAAAAAAGATTAATAAAGCTTATTAATTTCGAATCAATAAAGGAGAAAAATCTGCATATTAAACCGAAGGCGGACCTTTTATTATAGAGGCAGGCCGGACCTTATATGTTATCGTATTAGGTCCCCCCGGACCTTTAAACGAGGCGGACCAAATATTATGCGACACCGGTCTATCGGGTGTACTCTGGTGAAGTGCGATTTACATAATTGAACGAATTAATTACGACCAAGCAGTAAATCGCACATTGTCTTATTCTCTCAAAATAGCGTAACTATACATGATAAAAAGAAATTAAAGATAATATGGAAGGGCAATTTTAAAATATGAATTTGGATATATTATAAATTTGGAAATCTGATAAAAGAAATAAACAAAAATGTAAGCTGTAAATATTTGGGTAGGTTATTCCAAAATTGCTTATGCGAATTAATGGTAAAGTTTACACTATATAGAGAGAATGAACTTGTTTGTCACAATCCGGGATTGGGTCCAGTTCACGTTCATCCTGGTGAAGTCATTAAGTTTGTTAATACCATTAGGAAAATGTACGATTTACTGCTTGGTCGTAATTAATTAGCGATAATTAATTCGTTCAATTATGTAAATCGCACTTCACCAGAGTACACCCGATAGACCGGACGCAATTCATAGCGCTCCGGATTTCTTTATTTACAACTGTTTATTAACTTCAAATTAAACATGTAATACTGTAAATATTTAGTGTTTGGTAGTTTACTAGTAGTGCTAGTTGTTTTTGTTTCTTTATTTCCTTTGTTTTTATGACTTCTTAACTTTTTTCTTTGTCCTGAGGAAGGGATAGGTCGTCCCGAAAATTTGACAATTATTATTGTTCGTGTCGTTGGTCATTTTTAGTGCTGTATATAAATTTCCATCTGTGACCGTGTATCTACTTAGTAGATCCGACACTTAGGATATACAGTGTTGTTGGTTTTTAGTGCTTTATATATATATATATATATATATATATATATATATATATATATATATATATATATATATATATATATATATATATATATATATATATATATATATTAGTATGCGCTTTGTTCATTGGGTATTTCTAAAAATATGGTTTCCTGAATATTTATTTATAAATCTTTTTGAAATTTATGGATTCCCAAATATTGCCTTTCGAATGATTATGTATAGTTATGTGTATTTTTTTTATGTACGATTACATGATACCAAATAAATGATGTTGATGATAGGTGGAAAAGTTACGTTTTATAGCTTGGAAAAAATCTAAACTTACACCCTATATAAATCCGTGCAAAGGCAACAAGTTACTAGATGATGTGTTCATATAGTGTCTTGTATTAAAAGTGTACATTTATGTGTTTGTAAGAGAGAGAGAGAGAGCACAATGGACAATAAATTAGCATCGTTTTCCATAGTTTCAGAAAACAATCATTAAAAATTAGAAAATTGCTACAATCCTTTAAAAATTAGAATGGGCCAATACTTGCATATGCAATAGGTCGGGAAACATTTTTTTCCATATTGTATCTAGTAAAAGAAAAAGTAACTTCATAAAGAAGGAAGCCTTAAGGATGACTTAAGCCTTAACGGTTAACAAATGCTCGGCTGTCTCCGCAAACTTCGACTCTGCTGCCGAGATCATTCGGCAAACCTCGGCTGACTCCGTCTGTATGAGGTGCGAACCGAGCACTGCAGAAATTAGAAAGAAGGGGAGAAGAATACATACCAGCTGTAAAGCTTGCATGCAATAAAGATTAATTCTGTTAACAATGAAAATATAGAAACGTTTTTTGGTAATTGCTATAAAAAAAAGACTTGCATGTTTTTTCGAATTAATTACTGCCAATTTCAACTGTTCGTTTTGTGATATTTTTTTACGATTGAAAATCATGAAAAATTGTTAAGTCGTACGAAAATAAGATCATCAGAAAATTATCTCCCTTGCCTTGAATAGCATTTCAACCAATGAAATAATTGAAAATTTTCTCATCATGCAATTTCTACCAATCACAAAAGAGAGGAAGTGCATAGTCCGAAGACTGTAAAATACTTCAACTCTGTATACCGTCTTCCAAGGAAGACGGTAATAAGTGATGCATTCTTGGTGTACTTCCGTTGCGTTAACCTAAGGATTTTTCAACGCTTTGACTGCAATGCTGTTTAAGGATTAAATGTGGGATTCTTACGAGATGCAGAGTCAATCCGATATATATCTCATATAATGTATAATGCGGCATTTTTCGTGTGGAACGATTATTTTGGGGTTTTCACGATTTTTTCCTATGGTACACATGATGATGAATAAGTGCAATAAATATAATTTGTGAAAAAATGTCCAACAACCCCGGGGTTGAATATCGGGGGGGGGGGGGGTCCTGTCCACAAGTACCTGTGGTAGCGTCACGGTAGCGACTACGACAAGAAGTAGTTTTGAGGTATCTTGCGGGGATTTTATCTATTGAAATCTCAATAAAATTGAAGAATTAAATAATGTAACTGTGAATACAATAACTGATCCCCTTTTTTGGTTATGTTCGTTCGTAAGATGTAGCCTAGTAGCCTGCCATTCTGACCATTTAATTACATTTGTGTTTGTGGTATTTTTACTCTTGTCAAATTACATTCTTTTTTTTAAACTGATTTGCACAGTTGATATTTAAAAAGTGGTCCATTTTCGGGAAATGCAAAGTGCATTCATTTATGATGAGCGTTCGACTTTCCTATACGTGCTTACGGTCTATAAAAGGTTTTGAACTTTTAACATTTCAAGCTTTCCGCTTTCCGAAATATTTTGTTTTCAAATGATTATTTGGTACTTAGTATATACCGACATTATATATCGGTATATATTGCAGTGTGTTTTATTTTTTGTGAAATAATTACATAAATATCAATTAAACCTAAGAGCCAATATAGTATGTAAATAACTATTTTTGAAAAGATAGGTGGGATGGGGGAGTACGACATATATACATTGGTTTATTCGCAGAAACAGATATCATTATATAATAGATAACTCTAGCCAGTTTCAGACAAATTTGTACAATACTGATTAACTTAAAACATCACTAAACGCCCTGAAATTTTCTATAATTCACCGGGGGTGGATTATAAACATCGGGGGCGAGATCCTGTTCTATGCGTATCTCTTGTAAACAATTGGAGGCAAGCAAATGAGTTGTTTGTTGATATTTTATGAAAATCTGAGTTTTACTTTTATTCATTATTTATTGAATTCTAAACGGGATAAATTCGTTACACAGTCAGTCTGGGACCTAATACGGAGTCATCCAGGGTGTAACATGGATTTACGTATTGGGACTCGGTTGCGCCCAAACTGGTGGAACTAATAATATACCCCAATGTTTATATAATCCATAACCCCCCCCCCCCCCCCCTCCTCCAACGTGCATGTATTTACATTTTAAACTTCATGAAACTACCTCCCTGATCATTTAATGTAACATTGTAAAGCACGGTTCTTGCTTTGTGTGTAATTTACTTTTACGCAATTTTATTTTATTCATACTTGATTTCTGTCCTTGTCTAGAATTGTATCTCTTTCATGCCGCTCTGGGGACCCTTGATCGGAAATAAAATATTGTCTAATAAACTTCATGTATTAGTTATATTTCTCCTTCCAATGAAAATGTCATCAGACATTTTCAAACCAGTTTTGGCAAGATTGAATACATAAAATTTGAGGAAAAAAGTATAACATGATTTTTCAAAGTCAAGCGTGCAAAGGAGGTATTCTTGAAAAGGAAGCTTTTTTCTGTGATAAATGGCAGATATTATATGGTTTTTGAGCTTATATTGCTAAATATTGGCACGAGTTGGCTGTACAAATGCACGATCCATCGAGTGCATTTGTACAGCCAACGAGTGTCAATATTCACCAATATAGGTACAATTTATTTATTATATAACTAAAACATTTTTTTCATTGATTAATATTAATTATTTAAATTTTATAAATCAAAATTAATGAGATTTTTTTGGTATCGATATTAAAATCAAAACTGCAATATCATCGTCGATCCTGGAAGTTTTCAATATCACAACAATGACTCTACCAATCGTTTTTTATTATTGTAGCAAGCTCTGATGTGTATTGGGGGTTCGCTTTCTCTTCCGTATATTTTGACAGCTTTGCTCTGTCCGATGGATGAGCAGAATGTGAGAGCACATCTTCTCAGCATTACCATGTTCATGTGCGGGGTAGCAACTGTGTTGCAGTGTTTCCTAGGAGTGAGGTTAGAGTAATGACTTTATTAAGTGGTGTGATGTTAATCTTGACAATGAAATATGAAGATAACGAACAATAATCAAGCTCAAAAGTCCAAAACAATACAGATTGGGAGCAGAGCTAACACGGACCTCTAAAAACATCAGAGATGGGATCAGGTGCCATGGAGGAGTAAACATCCCCTGTTGACCTGTCAACGTAGGGATGAAAATGAAAAAAAAATCATCGATATATCTAAATATAAAATTGAAGGCCATTCCAAGAGACTTCTTCCTTTCATGTAGAAGTTTTTTTTAATAAATTCTGCTTATCCTTTCATACAGTTCTTCTTCTTGTTTTCAATTGCCTTTTATCTATTTTGTAGATTACCCATAATCCAAGGCGGTTCTCACACATTCGTAGCTCCAATTGTTGTAATGATGTCTTTAGAAAAGTTCCGATGTCAAGAAAAGGGTGCATCAATAATTAAGGGGAAAAAATTACTCATTGCTATGGGAGTTAACTATAAATGCACAAATCACTGTTTCCTTCAAAAGATGTTCTTCTGGAATCAGTTCTCGATAAAATTGCTTGATTGTTTTTATCTCCGTCTTCTATTTGAAAATTATATTTTCATTTACAGAAAAAATTAACCAGAAGGCCATTGTTCCTTAAACATACTTTACGTCAAATTCCATCTTTAAATAAAACAAACAAGTTATAGGTACTTAAACTTGTAATCCTTTCAATATTTGACAGCTGAAGGACTTGATGCGCAATCGAGCAATGATACGGTGGTTGATTGGACCGTCAGGATGCGTGAGGTATGTTGCACACTGCTGTCTGTTTATTTCCAGCATTTTTAGGTCCATAACTTGACAATAAATATCATCAATACATTTTCATAGCTATTATTTCTATATAAAATGATAAATAATTTTACAAAGCATAGTATTTTTTTCCATTTCCCTACAAATGAATTTTGCACTACATATTCATTGTTATTTGAATTACTAGTAATACACAAAAGAAGTTTTAGAATTTAGAGTAACTGAGTAATAAATGCATTTTCCATTGTAGTTTACAAAGCTAGAATTTGTCAATATTCAGTACCTTGATAAAAAACATAAGGAAATTTGAATGTTTTCCAGATACAGGGAAACCTGATCCTAGCCTCCCTGACGCAGGTGTTGGTTGGGAGTTTCGGTATCATTGGAACCATTTTACGGTTTGTCGGGCCTCTAACTATTGCTCCTACAGTGTCACTGATTGGTCTCTCTCTGTCACATGTTGTAGCCATGTTCTGTGAAACACATTGGGGAATTTCCATGTTGTAAGTTCCCGCATTATCATCCATTTTTCAAATGATACAATGCAGTATTAGATCTACTATGTTTTCAAGATATGACTGAAACCAGAAAATAATTTTCATTTCAGAACCTTATTTTTTCTACTATTGTTTTCTATATTTATCAACAAAGTGGAATTACCGATTCCTTCATTTTCACTCAAACGGAAGTGCCATACGAAGAAGCTTCCGATATTCCAATTGTTTCCTGTAGTGTTTTCTGTCGCCATTGTTTGGTTATTCAGTCACGTGCTAACTGTAACAGATGTCCTTCCTAGCAACAGCACGATTATAGAATCAAAAGCCAGAACGGACTCCAAAATGGAGATTATGACAAAAGCTCCTTGGTTCACAATTCCTACGCCATGTATGCATAAATTGATTTGATATTTCTGAATCAAAAATTAAATGTAATGATTTATCATTTGATTAAAAAAAAGTTTTATTCATAACTTAACTCGTATATTTTTATAATATATGATCCTAACTGTAAACACTAGAAAGGTAGACCTCATATTTTACCAGAGTATTCTTGTAAAATATTCAGGCATTAGTAGCATACACGTCTATTATATCAGACTAGTTTAGAGGTAAATGTTTATCTGTTTATCGCACCTAAAACAAAATGGTCACATAAATATTTTTAATGAACATCAATTACAGTTCAGTTTGGTATTCCAACAATAAGCATGGCTGGATATATGGGAATGCTGGCAGCAACAATTTCCTCGATAATCGAGTCAGTTGGAGACTACTTTGCGGCTGCGCGGTTATCTGGGGCTCCACTTCCGCCTGCGCATGCTATAAACCGGGGAATTACATTCGAGGGTGTGTCTAGCATAATTTCTGGATTGGTTGGAGCGGGTCACGCCACTACCTCATACAGCGGGAACATTGGAATCATTGGAATAACAAAGGTTGAGCAGGAAATTGACGTATTTATGAAGATAAGTTAAAAGAATACTCCCTTCAACTGTAATTCACTCAAAATTTCATCTTGAATTTACATCCTACGAGAACAATTGTGATGCTTTTCTCTATGGTTAGGTGGCCAGCAGGACGGTGTTTATTACTGCTGGCGTCATTCTGATGGTTTGTGGAGTGATAGGGAAGTTAGGAGCGGCCCTAGCAATCATACCGGAACCTATCATCGGAGGGACCCTATTACTGGGCCTAGGAATGGTGGCGTCCATTGGCATTTCAGGTCAATAACAATAACCAGATAGTAGGATGCTGGTTTATACAATGTGGACCTTATATGTAATCATTATAATTAAATCTATACTCCAGTCCATAACAGAATGGAGCTAAATCCTTAATTTTTATTCATCATTTCATTCACCCTGCATGTATTATCGTATTTCTTAACAGTCCTACAGTTTTGTGACATGTCCTCGACCAGAAACATCACCATTTTGGGAGTGTCTTTTCTAATGGGGCTTATGATCCCCGAATGGTTGTCTGAAAACTCTGAAAAAGTCAAAACAGGTTTGGGCTTATTTGAACTTGTTAATCATGTTACTAAGAACTCTGTATTTCATTAAATGAACAGATTGTGGAAGATGTAACACTTTTTTAGGTTCGGATGAATTGGACCAAGTGATTCGAGTTTTGTTCGGAACAGCGTCCTTTGCGGGAGGTTTCATAGGGTTCCTGCTGGATAATATTGTCCCTGGTATAGTCATTTTTAGAACTCTGTAAAATAAAAATGTACATACACAAATACAAATTAAACATCAAAACCTACAAAGACCTAAGACTGATAGCCATCTTTTTCTAATACGCTACTTATAAACCCTTGATCGATCCTATTTTCAAAATTGGGATTATGCATGCCATGTGGTCTTGAATCACTGCGTCACCGAGAAAACAAGATGTGTTTGTGAAACACTGACGCTCCCCTATGACAACTAATAGCAAATGCTAAAGTATCTCAAATGCAAGTCAAACCCAAAGGTTAAAGTTAAGAGATCAGAAATGTTTGTATCGAAAAAAGGTTTTCGCACAAGGAATACACATGTCAAATACGAGAGCCCTTGCATTTAGAAATGGTCAGGCACGAAGTAACGTTTTTGAAGGGGGGGGGGGGCAGCCAGAAAAAAGGTCAACTTCAATAAAAAAAAAAAAAAACCATTTTTTAAAAGAATTGTTAACTATGTGCATTGGCAACTATTTATTTTTACAACGTTTTCAACAAGTTTCGCTTCTGTTTGTTAGTTTCTGACACGTGTGTCGATCAGTTATGCTGAACCAAACTTATCTATTACGCTTTCATTGGTCAATTTAATTTGAATCGAGAAGGAGAAGGTAGAGTTTGCGAGGGAAATTCAAACACTGAAACAGCAAAGGCGATGAAGGAAGGATCAAAGTATTGATATCGTGGTAAGTGTTAATGATGATTTAAATAAATTATAATTCATTCTAATATGCATGTAAGTATTAATCACATCGCTAATATCCTTTATCCACCCTTTGCCTGGTTTTCTCAACGTGTTTGCCATCCCCTTAGTCATTTTACATGTATGTATCCTTTATCTTGCATTCCGGACAAATCCAATGGAAATGTTTTGTATAAAAAGAATTTCTCTCAAATTTTAACATGGAATCTAGAGAGAAAGACATAGCCCTGAAAGATAATGGAGCCGACAACACATTCAACAATACAGTAGAGTTCTTAAGAAAAACTTAGACACCACCGAAATATGGCTTAAATATTGCTGACTCGGCGTAAAACAATAATACTCAATCAAAAACTTAAACATTGTGAAAAAATAAAAGTATGTACCGGAGATCAATAAGGGATTTGTACATTGAAATGAACAAAAAAATCAGTGTTCAAAGAATCTATGCCAAATGTGAACAAACCTCGAAGTGGTGGTCAAATACAGAGACATGTTGAACATGCCAGAAAAGAAGGAAAATTTTTTTTATAATATTTGCAGTGAAAATATGGATGATGATGATGACGATTCAACGTGAGCAAAAAAAAAAACATAACAAAATATTTGAGAGTATATTCCTTGGAGCTGTCAGAAATGAAAACTTAAGTGTAAAGCCAGGTAAAAGCCTTAAGTTGTAAAAATAGGAAATCCATGAAATGTGACAAGTAGATTCTGATATCGTGCCTACCCATGTAGATAAGAAGACCTGCAAGTTATCAGCAACTACGAGAAAGCAATGCTCTAATATTTTCATCTGCACGACAACTGAGAAAATAAAAAAAATCAGGTCCATAAAAAATCTGAAATGATGAAATTAATTCTCCATTGGATGTACACTGCAACCAAGGAACAAAACGTTAAATAAAAGGGATATTCTGGTGGATTAGTACATCATGAAATTAAAATGCAAAAAGAACTTGTTCTTAGCATAAAATTTAAAGGGGGATATCCTAGCCTCTTTGGATGGATTTATCAGCGGAGAAAAATATCCACGCAAACGTTAAAAAATAATACAATGCAGGCAAAACTGGCAACACAAGTTTACAAATTGTTTTTAACACTTGATTCAGATTTCCTGCATGTTCTTTTTTTCCAACCACTGGTGTTAATGCCCCTTAGCTTCATACAATTACATGGTCTGTTACAAAAAAAAAACCTTATGGCTGGGGGTTTTATGTAAACTTTATTCTGCAGGATGTAGGCCTGTAAAACAGACAATCTATAAGTCCAACTTCATTGGGGATATCCACTAGAACATAACTTTCTCACTGCAAACTTCAGTGGATCCTAGGAAAAAAGTGACATATGTTAAATACTTCTCGCTCAACATGAAAAATTACAAAACAGTATTCTGAAAAGTGGCTTTAAAAAGTCAGAACAATGAACAAGACAGAACATGGGGACACTGGAAGTCTGTTATTAAGTGGGATAGAGATATCAATACTCGCCCAATCTGGCATGAAATCTCAGATGCATATTTCAACCCAAACAGTGCGGGAAAATGCGACTAGACATTTTTGACTGTTTTCAGGAATAAGAAGTAAGAAATATCTAATCTAAGATCAACAGGAGTGAATACATCTAAAATTATGATTTTTTAAAAATGTTTTAGAAGACAAAATATGCTTTAGAAGAAAATATGCTTATTACTTTGAAAGAAATCTGTAGGATCCATCAGAAAAGATATCCAACGGTTATATTGTACCATCTCGTATAAATTCTGACATTGTATAGAAAACCTCTTTCGTCAACAAATAGGGTTGTACAATGGATGTACCTCACATCCATCATACAGTAATTATTGTTCCATTGTTAATTGAGTCATACTGGACCATCACTAAAATGATGAACAAGTGTGAATGTTGTGAGAGAATGTGAGCAAAAATTTCATTATGTTACTTAATATGTCTCTTTTTCAAATAAAAAAAATGATGAACAAATCCTGGACGCTCGGGTTTGGGGAAATAACTAATAGGATCTTGGGAGTACCCTGGGAGGGCGCAGTCCGCTCGAAGTCCCGGGTGTGTGTAGCACACCGATGCCCCTGGGGAGGTTGCCCCATAAAATCTCACCCAGAATGGGTGCAGAGACATGTCGCTTACTATGAGAGTTGATTTAGATAGGCCTACGGAGACGTACGGTTTCAAGCAGTTTAATTCCCAGCTTCAGGAAGGACAGTCTATCCTGGAGGGGGTCGTTGACCGCATTCAAGAGGAAATAGGTCAGATTCAAAGGAATTTTTCCCAAGTTCAAGGTCACCTGGGTGCTATTAACAGCAGGGTAGACAGCCTTGGCCAAGACGTAGGACCCCTGCGTGGAGGTATATGTACATTAGAAGCCAGTTTTAAATTTCATATGGGGATTCTGAGAAGTGATTTGACATCTCAGTTGGGTTCCATGGAAACTTATATTGGGGTATAGGGAAGGGAAATTACTGGGGAGTGCTGATGTCTGACAAGCCTCAGTCATTTACTAAGCCACGCTGCGACGACGGTATCACTGTAAACTGGTGCAGCTAACTTCGGTAGTCAGAGCTCCTGCTACTATGGAGGGTTGTAGGACAGTCAGCGGCGCTAAGGAAAAAACAGTCATTTGTACCTGGAATAGAGGGTTGGCCTGGGGTACCTAAAGGTCACACGGTAATTAGAACCGCAGATACACAGCCCGATTTTTGAGTTTAATTCCCCCTGGTACTCGGAGTGCCATGAGCCGGAAAATTCTAGGTGAAATAAGTGGTTGAGTACAACGGGGATGTAAAATGGGGGCCATTCTACTCAAAGTTCTCCAAAATGGCTGAATACCGATCGCCTGTTTGCCCTGTCTAACACTGGAGGGGGTAGCTCTTAGATACTTTGATATCCTGTTTTGCAGGGGCGTTCTGTTACGTTTCCGGGAGGTCGTTCTACGGATGGAGGAGAGGTTCCGTAAGGACAGCCTTACAGCTGGAAAACTTCCGTAAGGACAGCCTTACAGCTGGAATTCAGGTTGATAGCCCAGAAGCCTGGGGGAAAACGGTAGAACAGTGGGGAGTTAGAGTCATGGGCACTCCCCAGAAGGCGTTTGGTGGCGGAACCTCGCCTGAAATATTCCAAGAACAGCTTATAACGGGGGTTGCTCTTGGCTGCAATGATGGTGAGGCATGGCAGCAGTTAATCATCCTCCCCCCTTGTACACCGAGTTCGTCGTCCACGTGCTGTTTGGTCAGTTTCTTCAGAACGGGACAGTGAAGGGGGGGGGGGATTTTCGCTCGCCCCTTGCTCATCGTCGTAAGCTCTCGGACTCCGAGTGCCAAGATAAGTCAGAGGAGCGAAAGAATAGATATCCTAGTGACTCCAAAGAGAGTAGTAGGGGCCGCAGCCCAATGCATAGACCTGTGAGGTTGAAATCATTGAATCCGAGGCGCTTAAAAGGTGTCAGGTCAGTTGTGTGTCATGACTGTAAGGAACAGGGACATACGGTGGAATTGTCTGCGTAGGAGCAACCCGGAGTCCCTGTCCTCTCGTCTTAAAAAAATCTTATGAAGAGACCAAGCCTAAGAGGCGTTTGTCTGATTCGGAGTGACCTTATCTGACATATTATTCCCTCTGTAAAGTGGGGGAGTCAAGATTTTAGCTCTGGTGCGTGGCTTGTCCCTTTACAGATAGGAGGCCAGCATTACTATCAAGGCTACTAAAGGCACAGCAGCTGACATTACAATTATCTCGGGAGAATTTCATCAGTCAATGAGGCCCCAGCCTGAGATAGTCAGAGATACCAATGTCAGACTAGCTGGTTAGGGGGCAGGTATGACTGTTCAATCCTTAGGGAGACTGAATCTGAGAATTAGGAATTATGATTTTGCTCACTTGATCTAGATATAGATTTCCTGCGTGTACATAGTGCCGAAGTTTCTTTTGAAGCGGGAACGCTCAAGGTCAAAGGCACAGAAACAACATTTAAGCTGAGTACTGAAGCGTTAGTTCCAGTACTCGATGTGGTGTCAACCCGCAGAGTGCGGGTTCCTCTGCACACTGCTCAGGTAACTGAATGTGATTTGAGCGTAGATATGCCTGACTTTATACTGGAGCCTGCCGGTATTTTTCCGCCTGGCATAGTAGCTTGGCGGACGTATAATGCCGCCAAAAATAGAGCTAAATTATGAGCACTGAACCTGACTGATAGAAGTTACATAATTAAGACAGGTACCAAAATAGGAGAAGTAGCCCCTGCTGTGTCAGTTGAACGCACCAACCCCACAGTGCGTCATTTGTCAGTTTAGGGTGGAGGACAGTTATGAACACATGGCCCCGCTCTTGGAACAGTAAGGGAAGAGTGCGCCTGCGGAGGTTTAGTTTTAGGTTGTATATCTAGTAAAGGAGTTTTCCGACGCCTTTACAGTAGATGACCTTAATCTTGGAAACTTTTCCGAGATCGAGCATCGTATTGACACCGGCGATGCACTCCCCGTTAAGCAGGCGGGGGTGGGGGTGGGTGGTCAAGATGGTGAATGCAGGAGTCATCCAGCCATCTTCCTCGGACCGGGCGTCAGCGCCAGTTCTGGTTATGATGAAGGATGGTAGTGTCCTCTGGTACGTGGACCACAGAGCCTTAAATAACGTGACTGTTAAGGACAGGTATATCCTTTGCCAATCGTCGAGGAGTGTATGGACACCCTAGCGGGAAACCGCTTATATTCTAAGCTGAACGCCCAATACGGCCTTTTGGCAGATCAAGATAGCTTTGGAGGACCGGAAGAAGACTGCCATCATAACCAAGTATGGGTTGTTCGAATTTACAAGAATGGGTTTTGGTCTTTGCAACGCCCCGCGACCTTTGCTTGGCCATCAACCTGGTGTTGCACAGGCTGAATTGGAAAATAACATTAGCCTACCTGAACGATGTTTTAGTGCTGGGGACTTCAGTACGAGCTCAACTAGATAACCTACGACAGGTATATGAGCCCTTTCGAGAATATGGCTTCAAATTTAAACCTCACAAGTGTTAGCTGTTCAAAAGCAAGGTCGAGTTCCTAGGCAGAACAGTAAGTGAGGAAAGAGTCGAGATGGTGAACCAGTACATCTAGGCAGTACGCGACTAGCCTGTACCGCTTGATATGGTTTTGCCGACTACCATTGCAGTTTTATTCCCCAGTTTTCTCGTATTGCTGCTCCCCTGTATGTGGTTACGGGAAAAAGTGGTTTCCGGTGAGGAGATGAGCAACGATATGCCTTTGAGGAACTCCTTAGGTTGATGACGAAGCCTCCAGTGTTAGCAATCCCGAACAGTCAAGGTCACTTTATTCTGGGCACTGATGCCTCAGATCATGCCGCAATGTGAGAAAGAAGTAAGAATCGGTCTGGAAGTTACACCGGATCGGGTGTTATAAATACAGGCCAAATCCGGCACAATGTTCGCAGTAAAGTCTCAGAATGTTCAAGGTGATGCAACAAGATAAGCTCAGCATCCCCTTTCGACCGGTCACACCCGCTGTGTGCTCCTTGTCAAAATCCGTAAACAATTCAGCGTGAAAATAATGGCCAAGCAATTTGTATGAAAAACGTCCATCAAAATTCGACTTAATGATAGATTGTATTTACTAACAAGGTCATTGCATCGACCATAGAATTTATGAAATTTTGACTTTAAACAAAACTGTCAGTATTCTTGTTTCATCAACGTATTTGTCAATAGCTTGCCTCGTTTTAGAAATTGTTCGTACATAAATGTAGAGCATGCTTTTGCGTATCTAATCAATTTGGAGACATACACTCCATATGCAGATGATAAGAGTATATTTCTACATAGATAAGGAAAGTTGAAGATAGAAAAGTTGAAGTCATCACGTTTATCATAAAGTTTTGCTGTTAGGTTACCATTCACTTCTTTTTCTAGTGAAATATCAAATTAAGAAACAGATGTGACAGACTTTATGTTATCTTTTATTTTGAATTCAAAGGGATATATCGAATTAAGGTAGGAATGAAAATGTATTTTTCTAATTGATAAAACATTGTTGATATATATAAATGTTGAATTGAAGGCCATAGCAAGAGACTTCTTTTCATGGAAGAGTTTTAGAAAAAATGCTGCTTCATTTAAGGTATGTCACTCGTGAAATTTGTTATATCAAGGATTTTTTGAGAAGTATATTTTGGATAAGTACTCATATAGTATGGCTCAAAATTGCAGAGAAAATGGGGGGTCAGTGTGCATCTAACTGAGGTACGGTACAATTAAGTTGACCTTTTTGCACTTAAATTGTAACTCTTTGGTTAATCACTTTAACCGTTATCATATTTTATAAGATGTAACCATGGAAATAAACATAATCTTATTTTACGTAAAATAGTTTGAATAATATTTATCATTGAACAAATCATGCAAATTAATGCGCGTAAATTATTGTGTGACCTTTTTGCACTAAAAAGTCTCATATTTGGGGTATTAAAAATCTAAATAGGCAATAGAATATTTTCATGTATCAAACTTTTAACGACTTAAGTGCTGATCGGTCCAAAGTATCGAGTAGTTTAAAATAATGAAAGAAAAAGTTGGGGTCAGTGATGTAAATTTTGAAATATTGGTCAAAATATGCGATTTTCAGACAAAAAACTGTGTAAATTTTATCTCGACTTCCTTAATATATGTTCATTTCTTGGCAATGTTTGTTGAGCGAAGGTGTAAATTTTGTTATAAAAATATAAATTGAGACCTATATTTAATATTCCAGGCATATCATAATGGAAAATATTCTCTGAGTAAAAGTATGTGAGGCTAAAGTTCCAAGATATTAAATTTAATAAATGTGTAGATTTGCAGAATTTTCTGCTAAATATCCTTCCGCCACAAGAAATAGTCCCTTATAAATCTTGCTTCTTTGTGAATTTTTGAGCAGTTTTTTAATGGAATGTTGAACATTTTACATTGTTTAATTTCAATATGTTATAAAGTTTGAATTGTAATAAATAGTTTGTAAGTAAGAGGTTCTGACTGAAATTTTCTAAAAGGCTGACGAGTGACATACCTTAAATACAAAAATAGGTCTGCTAATGACAGGGCGCAATTAGTACCAATGGGAATTCCGACAGATTGTTGGAAGACTAGTATACTAATATATTATTACATAATTTTTAAAAACATACATGTGATTAAGCATTTAGCCATTATGTCCCGCTACCATAGCTTCTTTTATTGGATCCATTTTGACATTTTCGCGCGATTTCGTGTTATCAGCAACATTTTTCTCATTCTGCGTACATGTTATCTTGATTAAAATAAAATCAACCAATGAGAGCGTGTAGATCAGTTCGGTGCAACATAGCTGAGAGGCACGTGTCACAGAAGAGAAACTTGGTTGAAAACGTTGTAAAAAGCTAATTAATTGTAGTTGCCAATGCATAAAGTTTACAGGTATTCTGAAAAAATATTGCCCTTTCCCGATCGATTGATATCTAGAATGCTAGAATTGACTTTCGATAAAAACGAGCTGATTTAGCGAAAATGTGCTTTGATTCCTCCCTTTTAAAGGTGCATAGACACAGATTTGAAGTATATATTTTCTCAAATTTTCTGTATAATATCACAACTTATATGTTGCTATAGCATTTCACACGAAAATAAAATTAAAAACTTATTTAATCTGGAATTTATTGAAACTACGAATTTCGGGAGGCGTTTGATTAACACATCCTTGCACTTTCACAATTTTTAACTTTATCCTTAATACTTAAGAAAAGTAGCAATTTTGTTGTGTATTAATGAATAATATTACATCTATAATCCAGAAAATTCAGAGTAACAAGCAAAACCCACCTCACTTAAGTATTGTCAGTCCGTGCTCAATGTTGTGTAGTTGTGTACAGAGTTTAACAAATTGAATACACCCGTGAAACGTAAACTGTTTTTGTAAACAGGGCACGAGCTCTGTTGTTGTTAATGTTTACGTTTCACCGGATGTGTTCAATTGTTAAACTCTGCACACATCACTGAGCACGGACTGACAATACTGGTGAGAGGATTTTGCTTTCTACATTTCTACTCTGAAATTTCTGCATTACAGTTTTAATATTTTTCATTAATAAACAACAAAATTGCTACTTTTCTAAAGTAATAAGGATAAAGTTAAAATTTGTGAAAGTGCAAGGATGTGTCTATCAAACGCGTCCAGAAATTCAAAGTTTCAATAACATCCAGATAAAATAAGATTTTTATCAAATTTTCGTATGAAATGCTATAGCAACATATAAGTCATGAAATTATACAGAAAATTTTAGTAAATATTAACTTCAAATCTGTGTCCAAGCACCTTTAAGCAGATCAGAGGATTTTATTTTGATTAGTTTTTAATAGTATGAACTTTGATTTTAGGATCCAAACATGAAAGAGGCATCGACAGATGGGTGAAACTTTCTAACAATACAGAATCCGAACCGGAAGCAGACGGAATATACGAATTACCTTTTATTACCAAATACATCAGACGAATCCGATTCTGCCAATTTTGCCCAATATCTCCAACTTTCGTAAAATTTAGGAAAACATATCTCAAGATTCCAATTCCTCTAGAGGACAAAGACTCGAAATCAGAAAGAGAGAATTGTAAGAGAAGTCTAGATGATTTGTATCCAGATGATTGATTAAAAAGCAGTTCAATTTAAATAGTCAGTGTCAATGCTATTTTTCATTAATTGATGTAGAAACAGTTTTAAAAGGAAAAGCCCGCGTGGCGCAGTGGTTAGAGCGTTTGCTCTTGAGTCGCGGCGTAAGGAGTTGATCCTAACGTAGCGGGCTCGAATCCACTGCGGGACGTGGAAATCGGTCCGTGTAAACCGAGGTCCCGTGTCGCAGTAGGTGCTGGCACGAAAAAGATCCCTCACTGCTCAATGGCCCTAAGTGCCGAGTATAGGTCAAAATTTGCAGCCCTCTACCGACAAGTGGTGGTGTCTCCATATGAGTGAAAAATTCTGGAGAGGGACGTTAAACAACAAAAACGAACAAACAGAAGGAAAAGAAAGAAGAAAGGAAATCTTTTTTTTTTTTAAAGAAGATCCCTGATTCATTCATTTTCGGTTTAGTTTTTTTTTTTTTTTTATTTGCTGTAAAAAAACAGGGGTTTGTAAATCGTACTTTAATATTTTTATAATTTTTTATATAAATGGAAAGCATATGTGAAGCATAACGTTCAATTTATGGAACCACATTTTGTTTGACTAGGAATGACTTTCTCTTTCCTTTCCTAAACATGCAGCAGCAATCAGGAATTTTCGTGTAGCAAGTTTATGTACAGTCATTCTCGTTAATATAACTTCAACTGAAACATCTCTATCGCTTGTGTTTATTCTCTCTCATGGAAAAGGGATGAAATTAGACGCTTGGCAATAAATGAATTAGGGGATATATTCCCAATAGAAATGTAATACATCTCCTTCTAGTATCAAATCATTTTAACTGCCAAAATACAGATTGAACAGTGTTTTCCACGTGTCGCTAAATAAGCTAATGATAACGAGTCAATTTTCTCCGTTTTGTGAAGATTTGTAAACATGAATGTGTTGTGGGAATTTTTTCTTCAGAAAGTGCTTCATGGATAATGTGATTTTTGGAAACCAAATTATTATGAAAACGGTCTGGCAAAGAGTCCAACATCATGGGTAGCAGTTTAAAGCAAGTTATATGTTTCTCAAATCACAAATTCTTGACGATAATTAGCCGAACTATTTTTAGACGATAATATGTTGAGTTTGCAAGTGTAGCGCGCTTTCTGATGAGAAATTAACTCTAATCATGCTAATGGAAAGTCTGCCTATGCCAATTGGGTTGCAATGTTTATGCGAGTTATCCTTCTTCATATGATCAACACACTTAAATAACATATATAGAGAAATGGCAAAAAGAAATAACTCTCAATTCCCGCCTACATTTTACACACAAATAATTCACCATTAATTAGGATTTGGTTATCAAAACTTTCATTGGATGCAAAGAAGAGTTCATTAGTAATTGATGAATATTTTGAAAAAAAAGGGGGGGTTAGAAAATTTTATCCAATGAAATCAGGCCTTAAAATACAACCGGATTTTAAAATACTCTTGAATGTGGATAAATTACCCTTTATTCTTTCCGTATGTAAATCAATGTAAAATTAAGCTTATAAGATTGATAATGTACAGTTTCATACTTATAATATCATTAGAAATTGGTAATTAAAAGAACACTTTCGCCTTTTTCTTGTCTATACACAATTGACCCCCCACCCCCACCACCACCCCGCCGTTGAAACAACAAAAGCTTTGGTATGATTTGTTAAATAACATACATAACACATGAACTTGTAAAAAAAAGGAATATTCGTTTCATGGGGGATGTTTAAATAAAATTTCCCATTGATTTCTATAGTAAAACACACAAGATTTGCCAAAATAACAGAGTTATCTATCTTTGTTTTCCCTAAAACGAAATATATTTTGTGAAATTTCATAAATATGATCATTCAAATATAGTAACTTTTGAAAATGACTTGGAGGTAGGCAGCAGAACAGTACTAGTACGCAATCGCTATTCTTTACCTGCGATGTTAAATTTGACAATTACTACGACTTTCTAGGTCACCTGAGTTACACAGATGACATATTACTATCTGTTTACGTCCGTCGTCGTGCGTCGGTCGTAAACTTTGAACTTTTTTCAGCTTCTTGTCTCGAACCACTGAACCAATTAAAACCAACTTTTGCATCAATGGGTAAAGGAGTACAATATTTTAATTTTTCTTTCCCCTCGCCCCTGGGGCTAAAATCATCGAAATTAGTGTTATCTTTAAAACTCTTCTTTACTTCTGAACATCAAGCAGTCAAGCTTTTGGAATGATTGTTTGTTTTTTAACGTCCTTTCGAAATTTTTTACTGATATGGAGACGCTACCATTTGCCGGTGGAGGGCTGCAAATTTAGACCTGTACTTGACACTTACCGCCTTTGAGCAGTGACGGATCTTTTTCGTGCAAGCACCTACTGCGACACGGGACCTCGGTTTATACGGTCTCATCCGAAGGACCGGTCTCCGCGTCACAGTGGATTCGAACCAGCGACGTAAGGATCAACCCCTTACTTTGCAACTCTAGAGCAAATGCTCTTATCTTTGCGGCACACGGGCGACATTGGTATGAATGTAATAAGCAGTGAGCCCTCTACCAATATTATGAAATTCGTGGCCCCAGGGTCAGAGGTTCTGCAGTTGGGGCGGGGCTCTAATTATCATATCGTGAAAAGGCATAAATTCTTTAAAAATCTTTTTCTCTCTCCTTGTATATTTAGCAGATAAACAAGGTGCAAGGTTATTATGAGCAAGGGTGCCTCATCCCAAATTGTGAGATGTGTGGCCCGAGGGTCAGGGTATCTGAGGGGGGGGGGGGGCTATATTGATTATATGATGAAAATGCATTATTTGTTTGAAAACCCCCTTCTTTGCCCCTGGATACTAAGTAAACAAACTAAGTGCATATTTATAATTGGCAAGGGTGACTCTTTTAAAGTTGAGAATATCATGGCCCATGCATTAGGGTTTCTGGTGTAGGGGGAGGGCTTTATTGATTATATAGTTAAAATGCGTTATTTCTTCTTTGCTCCTGGACACTAAGTAAACCATCTAAGTGCATAGTTATGATGATTAAGGGTGCTCGATTCAAAATTATGGATTTCATGCCCCCTCTGTTAGGAGTTTTCTTTGAAAATCTCTGCTCCTGGGTATTTAGCAGACAAACAAATTGTTTAGTTATAATGAACAAAGATGCCTCTTCCAATTTTGTAAAATTCATAGCCCCTGGGTCAGGGGTTTTGGAACTAGACTGGGGCTCTGTTGAATATATAGTGAAAATGCATATATTTATTTCTTTGAAAATCTTCTTCTCTTATCATGGGAATTCAGAGAATAAACTAAGCGCATGGTCATGATAAGCAAAGGTGACTATTCTAGAATTGCGAATTTCCTGGCCCCTGGATCAGGGGTTCTGGTACCGGGGGGGGGGGGGTGTCTCTATTGATTCTAAAGTAAAAATGCATTTTTTAAGTCTTCTTCTCTGCTCTTGGGTACTAAGCGAACAAACTAAGTGCATAGTTATGATGAGAAAAGATGTCTCTTCCAAAATTTTGATTTTTATTCCCATAGGCTAGGGGTTCTGGTATTGGGGCAGGGTTCTATTGATGCATTAATTCTTTAAAAATCTTCTCTGCTCCTGAGTATTTAGCAGATAAAGTAAGTGCATGGTTATGATAAGCATGAGTGCTTTCTTCAAAATTGTCAATTTCATGGCCCTTGGGTCAGGGATCCTGGTGTTAGAATAGGACTCTATAGATCATTTAGTGAAAATGCATAAATTCTTTAAATAATTTCTACTCTGCGCTTGTTATTTAGCAGAGAAACTAATTGCCTTGTTATGATGAGCAAGGATGCCTCTTTCAAAACTATGAAATTCCTAGGTCCTGAGTGTATTCTTCAAAGACCAAAGAGGCCAATATGAGAGGGAATTAGATGGGTTATAAATAGTGCACATCTTATTACGCTTTCTTTTGGGCAACATAGCTTCATTAGATTTTTTGATTTTCTGAAGAACCATCAATTTTCAAACATTCCCAATTTTGTGCATACATTTCTTTTAAGTTGGTCCCCCCACTTTTGGTCAGTTTAGTTTGTTTGTTTGTTTGTTTTTTTTTTGGTCAGATTTTTTTGGGATGTTGCCCTCCTTCCCCCTCCCCCACTTTTGAAACCGTTGCTACGGGCCTGTTTAAAATAAACCAGATTTCATATGTTTTATCAAATATTCGAATAATTTCGTTGTATATTCGAATATGAATTATTGACTTCCCTTTTTTTAACGCTTTCGCTTAATAGCACTGCAGTTTAATAATGCATGGTGTTGCAATCTATTGATAAGGTAATTCAATAAAAATGAAATAATTTGTTTATATTATAGAGTAAAATATTTTACTTGCTTCCATAGATAAATGAATGAAATAGTGTTTCAGTATTTTAATAACCAGAGTTGTCGTGACCAGAATTAAACTCACCGTAAAAGTCCATTATCGTAAATATACGGATCGACAAGAATTAAAAATTTCGAGAACGCTGCAATTTTACCAAGGACAAATGCTTCCTTGCATCAAAATACGTCATGTGTACAGTTTTTGAATTGTCTTGAAAGGTAGAGTTAACAACACCCCCTCCCCTGTTACTGTTTGTAAATGTTCAGAATCAATGATATCAATGTTATTTCTTTAAAGAAATGTTGATTATCACATGAAAACTTCATTCTATTCTATGCTTCACATTTCTCTCAAACGATTTACATTTTTGTGCAGTGCCTCCTAGAAACTCAAATCGATCAGTTTTATTTAATCAAGGACTGTCAATATTTGAAAGATTGGAATTCTATTGCCTGCGACACTCCGAGCATGGATAAATCATTTGATTAATTATTGAGAATACCAAGGTCAGAGTGGTATGGGGTTCAGTTTTAGGGGCACCCAGTGCGGCATACGTCACAAAGATCAACGTACGTCACAACGTTTAGTCTTCTTGTGCGAGGAATAGTGAAAGGGTATAATTTTTTTATTCTCTAAGAAACTGTATGTTTCTAAAATTTGAGAAAGCGATGTACTATTTCAGTGA